CGATTTTAGAACAAGAACAGGTAAAAATCGTTCAGGTTATTTTTTGCACTAAACCGTTAAATTTTATTATAATTTTTTTGTCAAGCGAAAAATGCAAGAATTTCTTGAAAAATGTGAATACGTGACTCCAATAAGAAATTATCTAATTCATAACAACAAACGTCAATTCTTATAAAACGATTGTTTTTCAAATGTTAAGGTGGTTTTATCGTGCAAGTCCCAGTCAAAAGTTAGTCACTCCATATGACTAATAATTCAATAAAAACATTTCGCATAGACTGTACATATGCGATTGTGTACCGTTTATGTGACAACGTCACACTATCGAGTTGGCGTTGAGCGATAAAACCACCTTAATAAATGTCATTTTTATATTTTTTTAAATACTGAATTAGGAAACTATGGTTTCTACTTTAGTGTAGTGTTCTGAGCCTTTTTTCTGACTCTATATTTCTGCATTAATGAGTTATTTCATACTTTCAAAAAGTCAGACTGTTTTTAATTTATCAAATTTGCATAATACATTGAAAATTAGATTTTATTCAAAAAATATACACGAGTATTCTTATAAATTTTTAATGTTAATCGTTATTCGTTTACAAAATCTATATAAAAAAATACTGTTAAAATACTATTATATATCTCTACAAAAAATATATTAGTAACAGTAAAAATAATACTAATACCTCAAAAGATTTTCATTTTTTAATGTTTTAATGTACATAAAGAGTCGCATTAAGGAGAAGTACTTATCGTAATATTGAGTAAATATGTCTCAATAGATAATACATTTTCTTTGTTGTAGAAAATAAAACTATATATTTAAATAATAATCATAGGTTTACATACTTTAGTGCAATTGTATAATGTTATTAATGCTTTTTATCTAAAACATATTTAATATCCAATATTAATTAATTGACTGTTACTTATTAAAACAGATTTATTTATGCTATCATTACATACAAAATATATATGTTTTATTAGAAATTATTAAAAGCACAAAATGTATATTTATCAATAATATTTAAAAAGTATATCTAATTAAATATATGTACATATATGTATATATAAATGTGTGTGAATATTGTATTTATGAATAAAAAAAAATATATATATATATTTCTATATTTTTATTAATAAACACAACATTATTTATATAGTGTCCCATTTTAAATAATGCATTAAGATTTCTCGAAAACTATGGTAGATATGGAAAAATGTTTCAAATAAAAGTTGTATAGTTCGGAAAAGGACATAATAATTTAAGGTACCATTGATTTGATCTTGGGTGGCGTCTTTAAGATCAGGTCAGGGTCACACCGATTTTTTTTTAATGGCATTATATTTTTTTTACATAATATGGTTTCTCTAATTATTTTACATACAAAAGTGTTAAGATAAAGTTATCGAAAAATAAATACGTTACAAGATAGTTTATACTTTATCATGCCACATTTTGACATAAAATATGAAATATCTCGTAAACTATTGATCTCTTGATAATGATAGCTTAATTTTTTTGACGCAGAATAATACGATGAATCGATTAATGTAAAGAAAACAGTTATTAAAAAAAAAAATATGTAGCTGCACATCGCAAATTACATTTTTTTTTTAAAAAAAGCTTTTTTAAAAAAAATATTTTCTGTGACCTTAACGACGCCATCCAAGGTCAAAACAATGGTACCTTCTTATGTTTTCCTTCGAATCATACAATTTTTGAAACATTTCTCTGTATCTACCAATAATTTTCAAGAAATCTTAATGCATTATTTAAAATGGAACATCCTGTATATACTTATATTATGTACACAAATATACAAATTAGATTTTATTTATCATAAAAAGTTATTTATAAAAATATGAAAAGTAACTTTTCATGGTAACCAAGATTATGATGCATTACAATGTGATCTTACAAATAACAATTTTATTATTATATCAATTGAGTTTTTCACATGAATGAGAGTAACATATTATTTGTAATACCGTTACTGTTACTTTTTTTACTAACTACACTAACGATTTAGTTGTTACAGTCATTTGTTATATTTTTTTTATTATAATAACGGTAATATCAAAGTTGTCTCTTTTAAAAAGTAATTGAAAAGTAAAAAGTTACCATAACGTATTATTTATTGCAAAAAATAATTTGTTATTCATCATTTTTCCCAACTCTGATGTTACTGTTGTGAAAAATTGTATCGTCATTATCAAATCATTATTATAAAGAAGTAACGGTAACAGCGTTACAAGTAATGCGTTATTTCCTATCCCTGATTATTCAATATTATAATTACCATTATAATGCATACGCGCACATAATATAACTTTACATGTATTGTACATGCACGTACACATATGTATATGTATATTCACAAAAAACTATTATCTTCATTAGTCATATAAGTAATTAAAAAAGTATGTTAGTTTATATATAATATATTCTAAATTGCTTAAAGAATCTTGATGAATTATTTTAAGATTTATTTTTAACAAGAACGAGGTCAATATTTTAAATTTTATATGATTTTTTAAAATAATATTAAAATAATTTTGAAACAGATACATCTCAAATGTGTATCTAACAGACGATTTTAGATAATATTTATAGTTCAGTCTTCCTTATTGTTATATTCGGTTTGATTAAAAAATATATATATTTCGTCTTTAATACACACTTTAGTGAAAAATAAATAATTCTCCATAATTTCGATAACTATGTAAGTATGTTTAATACATTTGTAGAATTATGAAATGGATGATTATTTTAAAATACTAATTTTGATAGCGGACTACTAATCTTCTATAATTTATAATAAATTCTATTGTATGTCTATGTTTATGATCTATTGATACAAAGAAATTATTATCTTTGGTTGCTTAAAAAGATAAATTTGGTTTTTATGTTATTGGCTTGTATGCTTACTACTTTTGTTACGATTACGCAGCAATGATGCATCCGAAAGAGAGTAAGTACCAGGTTCAAATACTGGTGGATATTCTAAACCAGGATAATCAGGTGGTGGAGATGTTGGTGGCGGTATGTATGGTAAGACTGGAGGTGCCAAGTTCCTGCCTGAATTTATAAAATCCTTGTGGCTGGATGAATATCCACCATTGTACTGAAAAAAATTTTAATTATTGTTAAATTTATTTTGCTAATATTTTTCGTTATTAATTATATCAATATAAACTTAAAGTATTAAAGAATTAACAAAATTTTTGGTGAAACTCTTATTTAGGAGAACCCGCTCCAATCACTTTAATCTTGATATATATTGTCATAATCCTGAACAAAAATTCTGAAATATTTTAGTCGTCGCTCGTTGTTTATTAAAAGGTTATTAACAAATAAAGTTCACAATATAAAAATGTGTTTAACTTTATAATTTGAATTTATAAACTTCTATAGAATATCTAGATCGCTAACATGCTATAGTTTGTTACCAGCTCTTGAAAAGCTAGACGCCATATTTTTCCGGTAATCACATACAGTGTATGGTGTAAACTGTAAAGAATATAAGGTGAAACATTGCGCATGGATTAAAACTGATTTCGGCCAATCAGTTGTTCCCCACATGGAGAAAATTACTAAATTTTGTATTTTGGGGAAAAGTTGATTGGTTCATTGTCTAAGTTCATTGCCTCCCCACTACTTTTGAACGATTGCGCATCCACCAGATTGTTTCACCTTCTATTCTTTACACCTATGATACAGTGCTTTATGAAATAGTGTTAGTGTGCATTTAATAATAATATTGGTTAAAATTTTGACGTTTTAGAACGTAACCCATTACTGGGTGAAGATAGCTGCTACCCCCTCTCCCGAGTTACTTGGCTTCAGTTCATTTTTCGGAGCTAGCGATCTAGGGTATATAGAAATCTGTTTGAATTTTATCTTTAGTACAAATATCACATTTATATATCTTCATATTTAAATCAATTTGGACGTGGACGTGGGAGAAACAGAATTATACAGTTATATTCACCCTGTAAGCAGAAGGCGATGTGAGATGGATTTCACTTTGCATGGAAAGTTGTAAATTTATGTGGAGTCTTACTTCGCGTTGTAAAGTGTATATGTAGACGCAATGAGTTCCGTTCTGTCTCCGTTTACGAAGGGGAGAGAGGAGCTTACTGCTAGATGTAATGATGCTCTATTTACTATTCTGTATCTTAGCTAAGCATACGAATTATCATAAATTACAATTGTATGGATTTCAATGATGCTCTATTTACTATTCTGTATCTTAGCTAAGCATACGAATTATCATAAATTACAGTTGTATGGATTTCTTTTTTTCTACACTTTCAATCGTAACTCTAAAGGCTTTGTATTATTTGTTCATGTAATCCGAGTCCCGGGACACAGGCATTTTGTACATATGAGCTACAGAACTTTTACACTAATGAAATGTTTACGTCAGGTGACAGCTGTACGATCCGAAAAAATGTAATTAAAAAATTTTTTTCCGTTTTTACTACAAATTCATGTGGACCGGGCTTACATTTTCTATTTCAATCTTGTGAAAGAGTTTTCAATTCCGTTGAGTCAATTCGGAAAAATCCATACAACTGCAATGTGTCGATAATTCCGGCCTTCCAGCATTGCCTTAAACAGTTTTGCCATTTCTTTTTCTACATATAACAATATTTTGTGTTGTTTCACTTCGTTTATGTTGCTCTCTCATTACTTTCATTAATTCATCAATGTGTTTACACATTAACCCTTAAGGACTCGCCACTTTTTTTGATGTAAGTGCTCGCGTCGACAATTAGACTTACATTTTAATTAATTTTTTATGCATGAACAAAATTTATTTTTATTTATTATTATAAACTGAGACTATTTTAGATGTAAAAATAATAATTTTCAAGCATTAAAAATAAAAAATATCTATATTTTTAAAAATATTATGTTATTAAATTCATAGTTTGCAACTTATGTAGTAAAAACGGATACTAAAAATGATCAAATAAATTTTAATCATTGTTAATTATGTACTTAATTATAGATACACAAAATATAAATATTACGCCAACAATGTGATTATTTAAAGCTAGCAATAGTTCTTAAATTAATTAATTTTATAAGGTTATATAGCGTGAATTAAAAATCGTGTACAAAGTAATGCATTTTACAATTTTCGAAAGAGTTGACTCTTTTAATTTGCGTTTTTGTTGAGCGTGTGTGATTTTTTCATCGTTATTCAATATTGCAACAAAAATGGTCCTTTTTGTTTCAGAAAAAAATACGTTAACTAAATTATTTAATAAAAACTTTATAAATTATGTAATAAAAATAATTCATATGACACAAATAAAATGTTTAATAATACTTTGAGTGCCCCTGAACTGAAAAATTACTTAATTTTTTAAATGAAATCACAAAGTTATATACGTGCTCATGTAGGGGTGGTAATAATGACCTCAAGAAGTAAAAGAACTGCTATTTAAATTTCTTGAGCATTATCAACGCTATTTCGCTGGCTAGATCAAGAGTAAGCCATAGAAAGAAAATACCGAAAGCATTAATGCCGCAAAACAACAAAAACGAAACAGAGATACATTTATTTTTTATATACAATAAGGATTATAATTCACTGTGTGTATAATTACACTATACTCTTGCTGGAACACGCACTGGGTTAGTTTGACCCCTACGCAAGTGCTTACGAATTAATTATGGAAGTAAATTTGATTGTACATACTTTTGATTTGCTAGAGGATGTTGTTGCATTCGGACTCCAGTTCGACTCATTGACCGAACTAGCTGAACCGAAGGTTTGAGTAAACATTTGGGAAGTACTATTGTTGTTGAAAGAACTATGAGACTGATTGATTCCATTATCGTCAGGACTTGGACTGTCAGAACGAGTAGACAATTGATTGGTGCAATACTTATTCCGAAATAGCGCTCTTTGAAACCGTGGCGAGCCTGCTTCTAAAATTCAAAATTATTCGTTGCAAAAAAATAAATCATACATTGTATTTAATATATTAATAACTATAAAATAGGAAAGAGTTAGGCCAATAAACGAGCAAAACTTTTTTTGGTTTATTAATACGAAAAATTTTTTAATAATTAACAAATTGCTGGAACGTTTCGGTTTACTTAGCCATCATTAGCCATTATACAAATTCACGTTACAATTAAAATTGACATTATCGGCGCAGATGTGTTCTTACGTTTGTCGCAGTACTACAATCTTGGCTATCATAAATCGTCATTTAATAATACAATGTCTAATTAATACCACGTGTACGTATCAGTGCGCCAAAGATGAGATAAATGACAGAACATGCACTGATACGTATACGTGGTAACCTTTTAACGGCGGGAGTGGTCGATATATCGACCATCTAGGGAACACATAATTTTTGATGTTTTTTTAGGGAAAATTTTATGCGTTGAATATGGAAAAAA